TAGTTCTCCCAGCTCTAATCCCCATTATTATTATTCTAAAATATTTGGGAAGAGTGATGTGAATGTTTCACTCAAACAGCAGTACTATTCGAAATCCGCCTTGATTACAGTTTGACATGAGTTTGTGAAAAAGAGGTGGTTCATTAAATCTTTCTTATCCTGTCCAAAATGCCCATTCAAGCTGAACTGAAGCTTTTTGCAAACATGTTTACTCTCTCGATATCACAAACGATGGAGACCATTAGCTGTGTATTTTAAATTCAAAATGCCATGGGACCTTTGGCACTTCCTGTTATCTGACTGCTTCCAGGTGGAAGGAGGACAAACAATGACTGTGGAAATCTGAAAAGCAAAGTAATAGAACGAACTGGCTAGTGTGTTAAATGTATATCATTGCCTGCATGAAATCAGATCTACTCAACTCTGCATCAGAGACCTTCCTTCTAAACTTAAGGATACATACCGAAGCTGGCCTTAATCAACAGCAGAGGAGCTGCAGCAGGGCGGGTGAGTCATTCAGTACATACCCAGGGTCTGGAGCAGGCTTGTATAGCCCATGCTGCTGTGGCTTCATTGCTATTAGTACTCAAGCTAGCTAGATCAAAGCTAGCTCACATGTGTCTACATATGCTGCAATCACACCCCATCTGGCATCAATTGCAGCGTACACATATCGTATGAGCTAATGAAGCTTTTCCTTCAGCTTAATTTGTAAGATCTTGTGCTCTAGCAGCAGGAAGAAGTGGATTCTATCCGCAGTACTGTGACATTCCTATTTGCCATGGTGTGTAGCAGAATGCCCTAGGGCAGTGATAGCTACCACTGGCATTCATGCTCCTTCTGTGGACTGTGGTAGCATTTATACGTGCATGCCCAGACATATAATATATTTGTAACATCTCTGCTTTTTACTCTTTTTCAAACTGACTAGCCCCTGTGTATTCATCTAGGGAGTGGGGACTCTTGACCTAGCAATTCCAAGACAGAACATGGAAAGGCCCTACTGAACACAATGAAATCACTGAATTAGTTTTTGGAATTAGAACTCTTACTTTATTCTTGTGATGAAGTTTGTAATAAGTGTTATGTATTACAATGTACTGCGTCAATACTCATCATGAAATTCAAGCGTAAAACAAAGTATTCGAATTCTACAAGGTGAATTTTGTGCAATCTTCCTCTCCACCAGCCCTACACTTTCTATGTGCCACATATTTATTAAGTGTTTGCTACTCTGAAAGTCTCCAACACAAATTTAAGAGGGAGAGAGAGAACATCTTTTCCAAACAAGTTGTTTAGCACATCATTATAAATCATATAATGAACTGGATGTTAACATTCTGTGATAACAGCCCAATCGTTCTCCTGAGAAAAATGGTGAAGAAAAGAGAAAACAGGGAGAAAGTAACATTCTTATTAAAGGCTGCAATGAGGTGAATGGGAAATGGTATGGGGCTTTTCTTTCTCACCCTTCCTGACTTAAAAACAAAATTTAAAATGGCTCTGACACTTGTTGGAGAGATTGTGGAGGAAGAGATGCCTTTTTCCGTATCTCATAGGAGTGTCCAAATGTGGTCAAATTTTGGATCCTCATTTCAATGTCTGTAATCATGGGATCTAGGATCTTGTCTGACCCTGAAACTTTCAGTCATACTTCTAAGACTTCCCATGATATAAAACTATCAATTGAAAACCCTATGCTTATTGTTCATCTCTTGGGAGCAGTGAGATGCTCCATACCTGTCTACGTGATACAGGAAAAACACACAGCTACAGTTCTATGTGGAATTCTCTATAGTAAAACAATATTTATCGGTGCCTGCTAAAGGAGCAACTTCCAGTTATGAAAAACAATGGGGAAAAGTTACCATTAATACTAAAAAAGGTCTTCAAATGTAACTCTGTACAATATATTTGTGAATTTTAATTCCATTATTAAGCTCATTCAGGAGAAAACAAATCTGAAAATGGGTGCTACATTTCTTAAAGGAACCATTCTTAAATTAATTTTAGTCCATAAATTAATTAACCAATTTACTCAAATTCTCAGAAAATTCATTCTGTACTCAAAGAGTAAATGTGTTTTTCATATATAACTAAGGCCTGGTCTACACTACAGAGTTAGATTGATGCAAGGCAGCTTATGTCGACCTAACTATGTAACTGTCTACACTAAAATTTTGCTCCTGTTGACAGAACTGCTCCACTATGTCAACTTAATAACTGCAACTCTATGAGAGGCGTAGACATTGCATTGTGTACACACTGCGTTGCTTATATCAATTGATACTGGCTTTCAGAAGCCATCCCACAATGCCCCACACAAACAGTACAATCGGCACAAGTGCTCCTGATGAGGACGTGCACCACGGACACAAGTGTAGACCTGCACGAGCGATGTAATTACTGCAGTGGCTGTATGTCAATGTAAGGTAGAATGACTTAATTTTGTTGTGTAGACATGCCCTAAGTGGTTAATCAATTCTTTAAATGTTAAACTCAACTCAACCAATCCAACCTTGACTGTGCAACTGCAAGTGGCACTTCCCTAATGCAAATGTATACTTTTTATACGTGTGTCCCCACCTTATATGCACACATCTTATATTCATTCATATTACCTCCTCAGCTAAGCAACCCCAATCACTATTCTATTCCAACAAGCAAACCGTTTCACATATTGGCATCCCTTTTAAGAATCTCATATCAATATATTACTTACCAATGGCACTTAAGCATGCACAGTGTGTATAAGCTTTGC